ATAAGTCAGAAATGACTTGAAGGCACACAACAACAACAACAACAACGGGCATCATGACCCAAGCCAAGGCAGTGAGATCATGTCCTGGGAAATGCCTTAACCATGTGTGAATGTGGAAGGGAAAGCTTGCAAGTCTTAGGCAGGGGCAATGTCTTAGGCAATGAAATAATTCATACCAACGTTGTTTTTTAAAAAAATCAACATCAGTTTAGTTAAAAAACACAAGGTTAAAAGGATATAATACACAACAAAAACACAGTTTAAAAAGATAGAAAACAGATTAAATACACCATCCTATTGAAATATCTTTTTGTTACAGAAATCAGAACCCAAAGACCTGCCTAAATAAAAAGATCTTTGCTTGCCTGCAAAAGGAGAGAGGGAGTCAATAAACTTCCCATGGGAGGGAATTCCATAACCTGGGAGCAACCACTGAGAAGGCTCTCTCCCATGTCCTTCCAATGGTTCCCAACCTTTAGTCCTCCAGATGTTTTGGTCTTCAGATCCCATCATTCCTGACTGTTGACCATGTTAGCTGGGATTTTGGGATCTCCTGTCCAAAACAAATGGAGGACCAAAGGTTGGAAACCAATTGCACTTTCAAAAGAGGCTGCCTCCCCTGTGTCCCTTCATGAATCGCACACATCTAGGTAAAGAAACACTCATAGTGATGGCTCATGCAGAGTTGCAGCAGACAGCCTCTTCTAAGGGTAATTCTGTGGCATCGCTCCATTATTCATTTAAGTTATATTCTGCCTTTCCCCAGCAGTGTAACACATTTACAAATGCAATACCATTTTAAAAATTCTTAATGGCCAAGTTAAAACACAATTAAACTATCGTTGCTTTTAAAAACACGTTACAAACAGCATTAAAAAGACATTTAAAACACAATAAAATACGAACACCAAACACACACACACATGAAAAGCTCCATCCACTGCATCATACTAAAGCCCAAGAAGCTCGCCCGAAAGAAGTAAAGTGAAACTGGGCAGCAGAACAAGAATCCTGAAGTAGCATCATGGATTGTGCCACTCCAGGAAAAGCTGGTAGGGAATGCCATTTGAAAGTGTTCTCTCATGGGTAAACATCATCATCACCACCACCACCACCACCACATAAAAACCCTAGCACAACAGGAAGAAAGTTTTGATCCTAACTCATTCCCTACTGCAGTAGTTATTGATTCTAAGATAGTTGTGGGTAGTTCCAGATTAAAATGTGTGTTCCTGCCATGCAAAGGCTACAGTGATACAGTCCATGCTACCATGTCAGAATTCTACCTCCACATTGCAAACTCAATTTTTGATGTTTGCGGAGATGATGCCTGGATAAAAATAACAGCAATAACTTTGGAATTAATGAATTAAAAACCTGAACCATCAGGAAAAAAATAGACCCACCACCGAACGGTCAACTGGAAGTACCCTTCATGGACTGTACATCTTCAGAAAGCAGGTGTGGAATTGTTTGTAAATTTTACATCACACTAGAAACTCAAGGGGAAGAAAACTATCCTTGCCTGTAGCAAATTAGCATGTCATAGAGCGATCTACACTAAAGGCAACCTCATCACTGCATAGCAGGGGGTTGGATTACTTACAATCCCTTCCAACTCTGTGACTCTCCAATTCTTGATATGTCAGCTTTCTATGGGCCAAAATTCTCACATGGCAGGACATGTTGGAATCAACTAAGATATGTGCAAGGAGGTTTCTGCTCAGTCAATTGACCAAGGAGCCTATAGACTAGAGAGCTGGGGGGGGGGGGGGAAGCAGGAGTATCTTCCCCAGGTAATCTTTTGGCTCCACTTCTCAGGCAGCCTACACCCAGTCTGTGACACGTCATGAGCTGCTGCACCACAGGAGCTAAAACCAAGGAGGTCCGGTTTGAATAGTGGCTCAACTTTAAAATGTACTGGATGACTTGGACCAATTGCTATTCTTAGCCCACGTCACACTGTTTTTCTAGTACTACAGTGCCTCAGAGAAATAGCACTTTTGCACTATAACCTAAAACTTTTTTTTAAATTCAGGTAAGAAAAATATAGATCAAATCAAATCATAGCACCACCTCAGCAAACCATGCCTCAACTTCAAAACAAACTTTGGAAGAGTCCTACTGCAAGTCCAAGAAATTGCTACAACCAACCTCCAGAAAGAATGGAATGAGCAGAGACAGGCAATAACAACCAGCAAAACCTAAGGTGCTAAAATGCAGTAACTCACACTTCTCTAGACCGGTCTGGAAGATCATTAAGTTGGCATCACTCAGTAATTTTTGACTGTCCATGTTCCAGCACCAATATGGAAAGATTGCGATACACTATCCCTGTCTCCATTTTGAAGATGTCTAATGTCATAAGAGCTTCACCATGGCTGTATCTGTACCGCAGAAGTAATCCAGTTTGACACCACATTAACTGCCATGGCTCATTGCTATGGAATTATGGGAGTTATAGTATGTTGTGGCACCAGAACTCTCTGACAGAGAAGGCTAAATGTCTCACAAAATACCATTCCCAGAATTCGATAGCAATGAGCCATGGCAGTTAAAGTGGAGTCCAACTGCATTATTTCTGCAGTGCGGATCCAGCTCATGTGATTCTATTGCTCAAGTCATTCAGCATAAATTCCCTCCAGAAGCCAAACCTCAACACCAGCAGGAATTCAAATAGGGCGAGAAGCAAACACAACTTACTTTTTCACTTTGGGATACTTCATCTCCGAAATAGCATTGGTGGCATCCGTCTGTCTCTCCTTCAGATGGGGAGGCCACATGTTGTCTACCCAGTCGACTAAGTCCACCTGAAAGATCATACAAAGTCAGATGTTAGTTAGGAAATGCAGACAAAAGATCTACTCTTAGAAATGGAAGAGGGAAAGCAGTAGGGTAGCTATGTCTCCTACTTTACAGAGAATAGATGGCTCTCTTTCAAGGCATCCTTTCTCTGAAGGACTCTCAAGTCTAGTCTGGATGAAAGACACGAGTACCAGATGAAGGAAGAATAAGCCCTTAAACTCACCCCTCAACCCTTAGCATTATTATTATTATTATTATTATTATTATTATTATTATTATTATTATTAACTGGATAACAGACTGTGGAGCAGGTACATTGGTCCAACCTATTTAGTCAACAGCCACTACTGGTTCCACTCTGAGTTATCGTATTAGTTCTGGAAAGTTATTTACAGTAGTTATTTACAGGCATGCACCAGAAATTGCTACAAACTTGTGGGGCAGTCAACCACTTGTGCTAACTAAGGCATTATTTCCCTTGTGACCTCTGACTAATGCTCATCTGTTTTTTCAGATAATTCCTAAGAACTGGAGAAGACAAAATTCTGAAGAAAAGGACAGTCACAATCTCCTGCTTACTTACTCCAGAGAAACTGCACAGAAAGACACAAGCCACAACAGAGGTATCAGTCATTCAATTAAATTAATTAATCAATCAAAAATGTATATATTTGCACATAACTTACATAACAGAGACCTTTTTGCCCCAAAAAGCATGTCATTTGGTTTTAAACAGTGCATATATTTTTATTCTCTCTCTGGAAAAATGCCCTTCTTTTAAAATGATGCCTACCACCTAAAGTTCTTACATTAATATACTTAACATTTTTCTTCAAAAATGTATTGGCCAATTTTATTCAATTAAGAAAAATGAACTGATTCATCTTACTAATCAATGGATGAAAGCTGGCAACCCAATGACTGATCACTCATTCAGCTGAATCCAAATACAATCACATTTCAAATGCAAAAACCACCCAAAAGAAAGTTGGAACTCACCACATTGGGGCGCTTGACAATGTTTGCCAACTTGGTGTGGCTGAACTCAAGGCTGATCACATTGTAGAGCTTCTTGCGCTCAGCCTCCGGGGTTTCATAGTAGCGCACAAACTGGGACATGCTCATCTCAGTGCCCTTTTGCGTGTTCACATCCATCACATCCACTATCCGGCGGCTTCCTGGAAGATTTCACATATATGGGGTGGGGGAGGGAATTATAATCAAATCTATATTCTTATTCAAACATTTAAAATAAATGAATCAAGTCAGGAAAACTTCTGTATTAGATTGTGAGGGAGATTAAGGAAACATTGAGAAACAACCTCTATTCTGCTTAACAGCTTCCCTGTTGCATCTCTAGTATCTGGGATGAGAGTGTAAGGAAACAATTTTAAAAATGGGTTTCATTTCACAGTATCACAAACATGCAATCTACCCTGATACAGTCCTTGCAGGACAGGGAGCAGCAGTGGGAAGAGTCAAGAAAGAAGCAGACTTTTTTTTCAGTCTTAACCCCAAGTGCAATCCTGGATCAGGGGGAAAATATAACCTGAATAGGTTTCTGATTCATAGGAGGAAAGGCAAAAAGGGAAATGTTACAAAATTAGAGGCAAAGGACAAAATGTAGCTTTGTTACCTGACCCAGTGCCATGGCATGACTGATGTACAAGAAGAAGAGGACATGGTCCTCAGGTGGAAGAATCTTGAAATGTTATCCCCTGTACCACTTCAGTCTCACACTTTTTTAAAAAAATTCTTCCATTGCATAGAAAGCCATAAAAACCAAAACACAAAGCTCCTGCAAGTTGAAAACTAGCTCCAGTTTACTCCTTGCTGTGCAATGTTTCTACTTCCAAGGATTTTGATCTGTTTATCTGAAATACTAAAATGATGATCTCTCACTTTCAAAATAAAAAGGTTGCATTAATTCAACAGCTTTATGATTTTACTCTCCGCCTTCTGCCACATGTGTGAAGACCAGGCCCTAGGCCAGCCATTCTAAACTGTGTGCCTTTAGCATGTTAGCCAGTGTGGTGTAGTGGTTGGAGCGTGGGACTAGGACAATGGGAGACCAGGGCTCAAATCCCT